ATACACACAGACAAGGTCGTCCCAATATGCGTTTTTGCAATTTGCATATAGGCAAAAACGCATAAATATACACTTGCAGATGTGCACACATCAAAGTAATGCATCACTGGGGTAATACTCTTAAAAATTTGGAAACTTCTAATGAGGCCGTATAGGGTTATCCGCAGGCTGCTCAAACCTAAAAAGCACAATAAAACAAGTGCGAACCAAAATTTGAATGCAGGAAACGGCGGCAGGAAAAGTGTATACCTCATAAGAGCAAACCTTCAATGAGCCAAAATGTTCGCTTGGATCCCAGTTGGTGGAACGAGTGGTCGTGCATGATGACGGCGCGGCGAGGTAATGCTGTTGTTGCTGTCGCTCGTGCTGTTGCATGCCCTGCTGGAAATGTTGTCCCAGGGCAAGCAGACTCATCGATGACAGACTCTAGAAACATCAAATGGTAATAAACGTAACTTGAGCATAATGAATTCAGCGATGTCCGAGGGCAGTGAATTTTCGGGAAAACTGAAAGGAACTATTTTAGAAGTCACTTTTTAGTTATACATTTTTTGAGCAGCCTCTAAATTCCATCGGAGAGCCACAATTTGACAGCTGAAAAACACTCACAGCCAAGATCTGTTTGAATATGAACAACCCCAACAATAGTTCTGGAATCCTAATGCACACTTTATAGATAAATTGTAATAAAATTTAAAAAAGTAGCGCTAAATTCCAATTAATCAGCTGAACTCCAAGGTTTTGGCCTTTGAAGCCGTAAACATTCCTGTTGAGCACGACAGCCGGCTTCGTCAGTATGACGATATGCGATCTTAGGTGCAAAGTGGTTAAATTGAAGAATGCGTTGAACTGATCTTGCATACACTTCATGCTAACCAGAAATAGATGCTAAGAAACATTATTTTGGGATCTAAACCTCGGTGAAAGGCTTTTGGATGAACCACTCTGTACTTTCACACAATCCAAGTGCACGTTTATTGAATATTTCTAAAACCTACTCAACTGTAGCTTGATAAGAATTTGCATGCACCTCTCGCGCCACTTTGTCAAAAATCATAATCCACAAATTGTCTGATAAATTTTTGGATGCTGCGCAACAAAATCCATTTTTATGCGCTTTTTGCTGTGTAACAGCAGTACAAAACGCATATTGTCACGGGGTTGTTTGTGTTTGTTTGTGTGTGCGTATGTGTCCGTAGCAACTTGTCCGCAACATTCAACTCGGGAAGCACAAAAGCTAGGAAGCTGAAACTTTACGGGAACGTCCCTTACCCAAGTGTGACCCCGCAAATTTAAATTCAGCTTCCCCGTACCTGCGGGTAACAAGTATGGCCCCATGAAAGTTTTTTGCGGATAAATTAATATCTCGGGAACCACGGAGTCTAGGAGGCCGAAATTTTACGGTAATGACCTCCTGCCCACGCTCAACCTTGCCCATTCCAGTTCAGCCTTCTTGTACCCGCGTGTAACATGTACGGCCCAGTGAAAGTTTTTTACGGGTAAGTTAATATCTCGGGGACCACGGAGTCTAGGAGGCTGAAATTTTAG